TAGTATGCATATTCATTTTTGAAAAAGATTCTAAAAATAGAAGGTCGGACACTAAGTAACACACTGTATATTTACGAAATATTTATTAAAAACAATACTAGTGGTATTTTTCTAAAATATCTATCAATTAGCAGAAATTTTGAATTTTTATTAAATCACATATCACTGTCATGTTAGAACAGACATTTTCAAAAATTTATGGGTCAGATTATTTTATTTCACAATCATTATGCAAATACAGTCTCTTAAGAGTCAGACCCTTTCAAAAAAAGATAACATTGAACTGGCACTCTTAGATTCAACGGAATTTCCTAAGATATTAAAACGGATGTTTTGTTGCAAACTATTGATTCTTATTTCAGTATTATCATCTTCTGTCAAATAATCGAACTCCAGGTGATAAGACGAATTTTTAAAAGCTTAAATTGAATGCTGAAATTGAAATGAACAACAACAAGATGGAAGGTACATTTGTGCTACCGTTGCTGTTGTGCGTCATCTTTGTGACAGGTAAGGCACTTTAAAACACTAAGGCATTTCGTTAACCTTAAGGAAATATAGATTGCTTGCTATAAATAATTTCGAATCGAAAATTCGAGTACCAGATAACTCGAGTGCCAGATAAATTCACCCGATATTTTATAGTCATTATTCAGCCAATATAAGCTCTATTTTTGTATATACGCCGATATTTGCTCTATATAGGACCAATATTAAAAAATACAGACATCCCAATATTGGTCCCTTGGTGCATGTTCATATTATACCGATATTGAGCCAATTTTGAGCCTAATTGGGGCCAAGGTATAATTGTTTCTAGGGTAGATTTAAGCGGATTTTCAACACCACGTAAAGCGATGGCGTGCACAGGAAAGTGGATGCCACTGAAAAAAAGTTGTGCAGGAACGAAAAAATAAACAATTTCTCTTTAAAAAAAACATTGGTCGTAATAGTTTATTCAATAGTTACTATCTAGAGCTGCACAATGGGCTATTGGCGGCGGTCTGATAAACGTCTCTGAGGATAATTTGTAGATATGCCATCACACTTTTGATCCTCTGCAGAGGAAATGGTTCCCCGCTTTATTATCATGAGACCTCAGCACGAAGTCGAGCACTTAACGGTAAAACAGTTTAACGAACAGTTAACGGTAGAGCAGTATATCAACAGTATATCTGATCAAAATGGTCACCCACCCGCTCACTAACCACAGTCAGCTTGACTTCGGTTACTGGGAACCATGTTTTACGATCAGTCTACTACGGGACAAAATCACATTGGAGAAATATATATCTATATTTTTAAAAATCTAAATCCATATCCTAAACTAATTTTTGTGGAAAATTAAGCGAAAATTCGAAGGTTAATGATTTATTATTTTTAACAAATTATTCATACTTTTTAATAAGTTTTAAAATGTATTTAAAATTCAACGACCCTAAACTTCATTATTGAATTGTTTATTGTTCACTCTTAATTTCATTATCAATTCAGTCAATATCAATCATAATCCTCATTATTCAATCATTAATTATTCAATATCAATTGTTTCATTATCAATGTGGAAAATTAAGCGAAAATTCTAAGGTAAAGCATTTATTATTTTTAACAAATTATCCGTACTTTTTAATAAGTTTAAAAATGTAATTAACATTCAACGACCCAAAACTTCATTAATTGAAATGCTTGTTTATTGTTCACTCTTAATTTCATTATCAATTCAATCAATATCAATCATAATCCCCATTATTCAATCATTAATTATTCAATATCAATTGTTTCATTATTAATTGTGGAAAATTAAGCGAAAATTCTAAGGTAAAACATTTATTATTTTCAACAAATTATTCTTACTTTTTAATAAGTGTAAAAATGTATTTCAAATTTGACGACCCAAAACTTCATTATCAAATTGATTGAAAAACCATGCTTCAATCTTTATAAAATATTTTTCCAAACATTTGTGTTTTATATATAAAATAAATAAATAAGTAAATCTTTCTAAACATAATAGTAGGAAAAGTCTCCCCTCTTTCTGCAGGACACTAATAATTGGTTTCTTATCTGTTGAATGTAAGTTTTTTAAAACTTTTTTGAAATATATTTCGGAGATTTATTAAAGGTCTAGTCATACTAGGTTTAGTTAAGTGCCATTGTCCGGTATACATTTGCCCGGTATACCCTACACTGATGTTTTATTAAGGTCATGTGCCATTGGCCGGTATACATTTGCCCGGTATACCCTACACTGATGTTTTATTAAGGTCATGTGCCATTGCCCGGTATACATTTGCCCGGTATA